CTCCCTGGGTGACACCATATGCTCTTAAGAGGTCCTTACCACCCTGATGACTCTGTAATAGTTAATCTTATGTGTCCACTTGGGGAAGCTCTGGTGTCCAGTTGTTTAGTCAAACATCAGTTTGGATGTTTCTGTGGAGGTATTTGGTAGATATGATTAATATCTGTACTCAGTTGACTAAGTAAAGGAGATTACCTTTGATAAGTAGGTGGACCTCATCCGATCAGTTAAGGCGTTAGGAGGAAAAAACTGTTTCCTGGAGAAGGAATTCTGCCTCACGACTGATATTCTGACTCAGTTTCTGGCCTGCCAGCCTGCTCTACAAGTTCAAACTTAAGACTACATCAGCTCTTCCCTGAGTTTCCAGCCTGCTGGCTGGATTTTGGACTTGCCAGCCCCCCACAATGCATGAGCCAATTCCTTAAGACAAATCTCTTCATATATCTCCTATTGGTTCTATTTTTCTGAAAACCCTCACTGATACAGACTCCCATGCTTCTGTCTCCCACCAGACCTCCCTCCTGTTCCTAGTCTAGAACATCCATCCATCTCCTCCTGTGTGTCACACACAATATGTCCTGGACAGAATCTGTTCTTTTTCTCCTCAAACCTGTTTCTCCTCCAATAGTCACAGGTGGTGGTGCCATCATCTATCCTATCACCAAAGTCAGAAACTTGGGAATTCTCTTTTCCCCTCATCCCTCATATATATTTAGCTACCAAATCCTTTATCCATTCATTAATAAATATGACTTCCTACTGTGTGTCAACCCTGAGCTATTGATGGTGGTAAAAGAGAATAAGACACTCTTACTTGAGGATGGGGAGAAATTGAAACCCTTGTACCTTGTTGGTGAGAATGTAAATTGGTGCAGCTGCTATGAAAGTAGCATGGTAGTTCCTCAAGAAAATAAAAAATAAAATTAATATATGATCCAGAAATTCCACTTCTGTGTATTTATCTGAAAGAATTGAAAGCAGGGTCTCAAAGAGATATTCATACAACTAACTAGGTTCATAGTAGCATCATTCACAGGAGCTAAAATGGGGAACAACCCAGGTATCCATCAACAGATGAACAGGTAAACAAAATGTGGTCTAGACATACAATGGAATATTTATTCAGCCTTAAAAAGAAGGAAATTCTGACACATACTACAACATGAAATGAACCTTGAGAAAATGCTGAGGGAAATAACCCAGTCACAAAAGGACAAATATTGTATGATTCCATTTATATGATATACTTAGAGCTGTCAAAATCATAGGCATAGAAAGGTGGTTGTGGGGGTTTGTGGGGAGGGGGAATGAGGAGTTATCATTTAATGGGTACTGAGTTTCAGTTTACAAGATGAAATGGGTTATAGAGATGGATGGTGGTGATGGTTGCACATTATGAATTTAAAAACACTGATATGTATACTTAAAAATGGTTAAGGTGATAAATCTTATTATGTGTATTTTACCACAAAAAAACATAAAAAAAGGAAATGAGGAATTGTTCTAATAGTGAACAATCATTTTAATACAGAAAATTGTCCTGTTAAATATAACTCTTGACAAAAAAGCCTATCTCTTTAGAAGCTAAATACTCCTATCTATTTATTGGATACATTTAACTTCTTTTGTTCAAGTTTGTTTCCCAGGAAGCCAAAACCTCTCTCATATTTCATGGCCTTTTAAATTGAATAATAAAATGTAAATTTGTAAAAAAAAAAAAAAAGAGGCACATTTCCTATCCTCAAGAAGACTATAGGTAATAAATAGGCTGCCACAGGACACTGAGATAAGTGCTGAGATGAGGGCAACTCGGCCATTATGAGAGCCCAGGGAGTGCTCAGAGGGGCCTCTGTGTCTCCTCGTATTGTCCTGCTGTCCTTCCCCATTTCTCTGCTTGCTTTTAGCCCCCCGTCTCTTGCCAGGAGTATGAAGCCTCCTAAATGGTCTTCAGGCTCCTTCAGTTAATGGTCCACACTGATTCCAGGATAACATTTTTGAAATGTGAATCATATCACTTTCTTATCTAAAATGCCACATAACTACAGTTAACCCTTGAACAACACAGGTTTGAATTGCTCGAGTCCTCTTTTTTTTTCAAGAGTCTCTCTCTCTCTCTCCATATAAATTTTTTTGGTATCATTAATCTACAATTACATGAAGAACATTATGTTTACTAGGCTCCTCCCCTCAC